GGTGGGGGGGGGGTGCATGTAAGTGATTCTGTAGGGGGGTGTCAGTGTGGAAGAGAGATAAAGAGCAAAGTGGAGGAAAAAACTGGTTTGTCTTGTCCCATTGAGAGGAGTACAAAAAGCTGTGCTCCTTAACGGTATTGACTGTTTCTCTAGTTGTGTTTTCGGAAGAACACCAAGTAGTTTGCATATACAGGGTGAATGACCAGTGACTAGAAATTTCGCTGAAGTCATTAAGAAAAATGCTTTCAAATACATTTATGGGGATTTCTTCTTATCGTATTTCTTATTGTTTTAGTTCTTCTTTCCTATATTCCTGATGGGCAGTCACTTCACTGTTTGGAAATGAGTTCTTTCATTCTTTTTCATATCTTGGCATTAATTTTCCCATGTCATGAAGACCATTTTTCATTTATTTCACTAACTTTGAAGTGTGTCTAGTTTCATGTTGCAAAGGCATTTATACGACTTGCCAATTTGGATGTGTAAGCTCTTTGTGCCTTTCCCGCAAGTTTCATATAATGGCAGCAGCAAGCGTTTATTTTCTGCTATTGCGTCTGTGCAGCACACTGTCTCTGCCACTGCTACTGTATGTCATGTCAATAACGGGTGGACTTTTGAAGTTGAACAAAGTGTGTAGTCATGATGTGTCACACGCACATTTTAGTTGATGTGAGTGTGAGATATTTGTGGCATTGTGTCATCACCCTAAATTATACACGTCAGTCAATGGATACAAAATGTCAACACACCATTGTTCAAATGGCAGATTTTTGTGACTCATTAAATTGGTTTTTGTTTCAAAACTTTTCCCACCATTAACCTGACGCGTAACTTGTACAACTCTATTGCGAAAAAAAAAAAATATGCATTTGATGGCGGCAGAGTAAAAAATAAGCAACTGAGATGCCAGAGCTTACAGCATTGCCTCGGTGGTGGCAAGGCGTTGGAGTGCAGCTTAACTAATCAAAAAAACTTATCGCAAACACAACACTAAGATACAGTATGCGAAACATGGGAAAATGCTGAGTGAAGCTGCGATGATACGCTGCCAATCAGCTCACGCGATGAATCTCTCTTTGGTCGATGATGCGCCAGGCGAAGCAGGGAAACCTCTCGCACATCAACATGAAAAAATGTGTCTTTTTTCACAATATGGCTTCCGCCATGGCTGTATTTTATTTATTTATTTATTTGTATTAATTTTGGGGCATTTGGCTGTGTTCAAAATTCTCACTTAAAATGAGTTTGAATGTTATTGGTTAATTCTGAACACAGTCGCATCCTAGCTGGACTGTAAGAGAGTGTGCAAAGAGATGAGTTGAGAACTCAGACATTGTATTTGAGTAAGAGTTCAGTTATTTGAGAATATGACTCAAGTAAAAGTAAAAAGTTGTCCTCCAAATAACGAGTCGAGTCAGATTTTTTTTTTCCAATGAAAACACTGAAGTACTCTGGGTTGAACGCTTTCACATCTTTTGTAGTCGATTGATGATGGTTGAGCCGATGTCGAGTCATCGATGACATCACAGATGCTTTGTGTCAGTTGTCAACTCGCTTTGTACGCCCGTTAATATTTTGTTGTGGTTAACTCTTTCAATACAGCACTGCCAACCTCTGGAAATTCACTTTCAGAACATTTTGTCTGAATTTCCATATTTGTAACCTTTTTTTTTTTTTTTAAATCCGGAACACCACGTTATTCAGAAAAACAAATGTTTCAGCCTTAATGAGGTCCTGTTTAGAGATGTGTAAAACAAAATAGGAATAATCCGGAACAGTTGGCAGGTCTGTAAATACATTTGACTTGACTTGCCTCTAAACACAAGCTTTCTCCCTCACTTTCCTCAGTTGCACTGGCTCCACCCCTAACTTGATCATCCAGTCACATTTGGATTCCTTTCAGGCCTTCGCAGGTGGTCAGAACTTGTAAACCTCAAACACCAATTTTTGTACCACAATGGCACGGTTGCTGCGCCCATCAGTTTCGAACAGTAATGTGTTCTTTGTGGAACTGTAGTTTATGAACAAGCTTAAACTCTCCGACATCCTTGCTTCTATTTATATTTTATCATTTATATTGATTTATATACTTTTTGTTCTTCTACTTCTTCTCCCTTTCATAATTTTGTTGCCGTAAATTGGGAATGTCTCCAATGTGAGACAAATAAAGGTTTTCTAATCTTCCTTTATCTTATCTTATCTTATCTTATCTTATCTCATCCTGCCATGCAGCCATTCCCTTTTTTTCTGGCTACTCCTCGTCTCCTCCTCCTCCTCCTTAAGATAAGCAAAGCCAGGCCTTTCTTTTGAGTCAAAGACAAATACCTCATGCCAAGATGCAGTCGACTTTTTGTCTAAACTTCCAGGATTTCATAGTCAATTCAAGATTTAAAGTAGGGATGACGCGATCACATTTTTTTTGTTCAAACTCGAGTCCGAGTCCAAGTCAATTGACATTGAGTATCTACCGAAAAAAAGTCCACATCTTAAATTGTCTCAATTATCCCATTTATTTTTTTTATTTATTTATTTTGTAATAAAGGTATCAGAAGATGACACCTTTTAATAATGGCTGTGAATCAGCAGTGGTCCAAATCAAATGAACTAAAATATTTGAATCTTGACTTTAGAAATTACGATAATTTAAAGAGTCTGATCAGCTGTTGACAACAGCAACGCGACAACAGCAGTTTTGATACCTTTTTTATTGTAAAACTGTCAATTTTCAGCTGCTCAGCAGTAAAAATTATCTGCTTTCTGTCGTTCTTCATGAAAGCAGAACGGATCACATTAAAACGTTTGCTTTTTTTTTGGTCTATTTTCTGACGTGTTAAGGTCCAAACTGAATGATAATTAATTTCTGTTGGTGCTTTTTCTTAATTACTAATTACAAACATGGCCCTGTTTATGAATAAAGTGATGGAAATTAAAACATCCACCAATCATCTTCCATTCATCCGGGGTCGTGATGCAGGGGCAACAGCTTAAGCAGCGAAGCGCAGACTCCTCTCTCCCCAGCCACTTCGTTC